GTGTTGCTCCCGCGCCTCGCTCAGCCAGTGAGCGGGAACCGGTCTATACGTGGGATCCGAACCCTCGGGCAGGAGCCCTGCCGCGCTTCCCAAGCGGTGCACTATCCAGTGCGCCACCGGGCCGGCCCCTTAATAAAATATTTTGAATGAGGGTTCTAAGAAATTAATAATTTTTCTTCCTCTGGAAGAACTCTAATCCATAGGTTACGAGGGAAAATAGTTACCCCAAATTTTACGCTGATGTTATATTTTCGAAAATCAGTGCTTTAAAATCTTTATACTTTAAGGTAGGCAGGAGAAACTTCCTTCAAGTTTTCATAATCTCAACACCAGCAGATTGTAAAATTATATGAATATCTCAAGGAGTTTCAGCAAATTTCACCTAAGAATCACACAATTCTGTTGCTTCCGATGGCTTATTTCACAAATTTCAAGATGTGAAGCACTGAACAGTTAATTTATCTTGAGAATTTATATGTAAGATTAATTTAAGAACATACACCTAAACATTTTGAGCATATAACTTACATAATTCATAATATGTCATAAGTACATAACTTATCTGAATTTAATAGGTATTAATATATTTTATACTATTGAGGCAATAATAAGGAAATTTCTAGATGGTTTAATTCTAAAATAATTTATTGCATTGTTTTAAAAGTTAATGTGACAGAAAAGCTATCTCATAATACATAAGAAATTTTGTCATCAAAAAGTATATCCAGAGTAATTATGGTAAGTACTACTTGGTAATATTTTAGTTGAGTTTCAACATTACTTTTAGGATGGGAGAATAGTGTTCACGTTTTGTGTAAAAGTACTTGGGAACAAGCCTTGGGAAAACAGATCTTGTTTATACTGTCAAAAAAAAAGGCTTATTATTCACAAAAATTAGAGTATGATGGTTTTTACTCAATAGTGTTTTGCTCTGTACTGCAGAGAATATATAGTATGTATTCTCTGAATTTTTGCAAATAATACTCTTCATTTTCACGCAAGGGTAATTTTGTGTTTTGGTGTGAGAATAATTCCAATAATACGATGCATGTCTGTTTTTGAACACTGCCATCCTTGGTAACACGTGCCCTAGACCTTCTATAGTTTAGCCTTCACTCTTTCTCCCACTTTTCACCATTCCCTAAGATGTCTTTAAATTTGTTGTGTCTTGCCCCGTCATGTTCCCATAATTCGTTTCCCTTAGCAGAGTTGAGATGGACTGGATTTTCGAAACAACTTTACCTAATACATGTGGAAAGCAAAAGGGATACCAAGAGCATTTAAAAAAAGAAACAAGGGCCGAGCTCATGGCACACTCGGGAGAGTGCGGCGCTGGGAGCGCAGCAGCGCTCACGCCGCAGGTTCGGATCCTATATGGGGATGATGGGGATGATGGGGATGGCCGGTCACCGCTCACTGGCTGGGCGCGGTGCGGCCGGTCTCAAAAAAAGAAAAAGAAACAAAGAAAACCTTACAGAATACTGGTATCTGATCCTCTTTTAGTTAGCTCGAACTCAGGGATCTCAGATCCAGTCCTAGGTCCAGGCATTTGGGGTATTTATCCTCTAACCTTAACTGCATCTTCCCAACTTTCCGACTTCTGGGACTCCCTGTTTGTCACAGTATAATACTATTGGCCATCCACTGCTAGGGAGCTGCCTGCTTGACCCTGCTACTAAAATCAAGAGAGCCCTGTCTCTTTTCATTCCTGGTTTCCATTTTTATTTTCAGAGATATGTATGCCTTGTACCCAGATAACCGAAAAATGATTTCTCAATTCAGGGGAGATATTTCCTTCTACATGAATGGATGTTAACTGAGATGAGATGAGCTCTTGAAGGAGAGCAAAGAAATAGAAAAAGTATTTAAGTATTTAAGTTCTAACATGAACAGATATTTTCACTGACTATTCCTCAGCTTTGAATAACGTAGATGCTTCTGTCCAGTTTACTGGTAATTAAAAATTGTGCATAATTTGCAACTTATCAGTCTTTTTCATTCATAGGAAAATTTTATTTGCTTATTTTTAATTGACCATATTGATTGTATATATTTATGGGGGATAGAGTTACATTTACATATATGTATACCATGTGTGATGGTCAAATCAGGGTAGTGTATTTGTCATTGTAAAAATTTATCATTTCTTTGTGATGAGAGCGTTTGAGCTCCTCTCTTCTAGCCAATTGAGAACACACAATAAATTATTGTGAATTATAGATGCCCAGCACTACTGTAGACCACATTAGCATTTATTTGTCCTATCTAGCTATAATTTTGTATTCGTTAACCAACTTCTTTTTATCACTCCCTCTCCCTTCTCTTCCCAGCTTCTAGTAACCACAATTCTATTCTCTACTTCTATAAGCTCAACTTTTTTTTCTAAGCTCCCAAAGGTGAGTGAGAAACATGCAGTATTTATCTTTCTGTGCTTGATTTATTTCACTTAACATAATGTCTTCCAGCCTCATTCATGTTTTGGCAAATTACAGGATTTCATTCTTTTTTATTCCTGAGTAGTATTCCATTGTGTCTATGTAACACATTTTCTTTATCCATTCATCTGTTGATGGACACCTAGGTTGATTCCATATCTTGGCTATTGTGAATAGAGCTGCAATAAGCATGGGTGTGCAGATATCTCTTTGGTATGCTAATTTCATAGGGAAATTAACAAAAGTTATTCTCTTATTTGTATCATAGTTGTTTTGTTGAGAGAGAATTAGGCAATTTGAGAGTTTGTGTGTTTAAAATTTTGTAATAACCATGTTTGAGAGTTGCATATGAAAACCTTTTGGAAGACTTTCATATTTTTCTCAAATATGTCCAGTAAAATGACTCAGTGGACAATAATTAAATAATTGCTCGCTATACAGTCAATGAAATTTGGCAGTTAGGGATTCACGCAAATGAAGAATGCTTTAGGAAAATGTAATTATTATTTGATTTTAGTGATCTGCTTGGTCCGAATAAGAAAACTGTTTAATGAACAAAAGGAATTAGAGATGCTGAAAGTTATAGTTAAAAGAGGAAACATTTTTATATTCTAGTACTTCATTAATAATTGTTATTTTAGCTTTTAATGCTTTGAGGAAAAATTTGTTCTTTCCATTTCTTTCACATTAAAACCTATAGATAAAGAAAATTAACTTTGGTATTTCAGGTTGTATCTATTTTTAAAAAAAATTTGTTTCAGGTTGTATCTAAATAGGGCCTTCACATCAACTATGTTCACTACAATTGACCAAATTAAATGTATATAGTCTCTTTAATAGAGATGGATTACCCAGAACTACAATTTCAAACTCATACATCATTGCTATATACTTTGTTTATTGTTTTTCTTTCAAGGACCGTCATCCTGTAGGATTTATCTGAAGCTATCAAAAATATTTTTTTCCCACCTGGGCAATTTACTTTTAGTTCAGTGGAATTTTATGTGAATTTCTACCATGTTTGCCAAAGCAAATGATGTCTAGAACATTCTTAACAATGTATTCTGGAGGCAGCTCTCATTTGAAATTAGGTTCATCTTCTGAGAGTTTAAAAAAGTTAATGGATTTTTGTGCCTGAAGATTTTGACCTTCTACTGGCTACATTTAATCCAGTTTTACCCATAAGGTTTAGAGTCTAAAGGAGCTAAATCACTGAAGATGCAATTAAAGCTCCTGAAAATTTTTCTTTTAATATTGTCAACAGCCAATATGTGGAAAGAGAAATCTGGAGTTTAGAGATAAAGAACACATGAAGAACTGTGAACACTAACCAAGTGGATAGAAGAGAGTAGTTAATAAACGAGTAACATTTTTGGTATATATCAAGTAAAAGCTTGTCTTTTTCTAGGTCTCTTCTCTTTTGTAAGCCTGTCTTTCCTTAACTGAATCTTTATTCATTTGTATCTTCCTTCCTCTTTGTCAACCCCCAAACCCCATTCTCCCGCCCCTCGCCCCCTGCCTGCCCCATGACCACCCCAACAGTCCAAGAAGGCAAAAT